GTCTCATGACTTTCCATTATTTAATGAAAATGACCTCATAATTACTTTTCAAATATGTTGATTTATAGATTTTGACAGATTTCTTAATACATTAAAATCAAGAGGAATTTTGCTGTTGATTTCAACAATAAAAATATATAGCCTGAATTTATGGTATGCACTCAGATACTCCAAGTCATTCCAATTTTAACTGTTTTATATAGTATTAGAAACGTAACAATCAGGCACATGCTAAAGCTGATCCAAAATACCAGCTGTTTTAAGGGAAAAGGTTAACAACCCTCACCTTCTCTTTCACCTACAGAAGCTAAGGCAACTAGCAATTGAATCTTACTTCAACATATAGTCTATTACATTTGAATGCCACAAAATAACTTGAGAATGCAGGGAAGATTGAGCAAGTGGTCTAACAACAGGTTTCCCCAACTTAGCCTCCACACCATTTGCTACCTTAAGCCCTCCTAATTGTATGGCAGTCCACCAACAGAAGCACATCATTGTGGAGTCCATCCCTCAGATTCTGAAATTGAGGCAAGGGTGGTAGCTTTTCAAGTCATGAGTGAATAAGTTTTTTATTCAAATAATAATGAATTCTGCTGCATGACTTTCCACTGAGGTGAATTTACCTTAGAATATTTTTATGCCATTGTCTCTTTTTCTTGCATGGAGATTCCAAAAATGTTTAGGACTTCCCCTAGAGCAATGAAACATGTAGAGGACAGTTTTATTGAAAAAGAACACAAATACAAGAAAAATGTGGAAACAAGCATGTTTGTTCTTGATGTGAAGTGCAGCATTAGAAAACAATTTTGGGGGCTGCTCGAGAACCAATGTTTGAGTATTTCAGGAGACATCTAGAAAGTATCAGAGCAGAGGTATATTCATGCCAAAACTGCGTCCACCCCATTGCCAGCAATAAGAAAAAAGTCACGATACGTCACAACATGTCACGTGACGTTACAAGTTTGACACCCCTGCTCTAGAGGATACTTATAGATATCTAAACAGGATTTAACTTTTCTGCATTGTAGCATACAATCAATGCCTGGATGGTTTTCATTCTTACCTGCAATAATGGATATCTTAATTGTTTGATTTTCTGGTTAATCCTTTAAATGATTTCACTGGAATTTGGCAGAGAATATCGCACAGTATTTGAATTTGCTTTTCAGAAACTATGCTAAAACTTTCTAAGAGATCTATGTTTTGAAACTCAAAGAACAAATTAGGGATGCCACATTCTCCAGATCAACTTTTGTGAGAATTTTAAAATCATTTTTGCATCATGCCCAGCACCATTTGTAATAAACCATACTAATGTTGAAAGAAAAATCTTCATCGGGGTCCAGTCCAAGCTGGGAATAAACAAAATGGAGACTGCTTTAGAAAGAAGGTTGCAGTTTATTGAAGAGGAGAGCCAGACAGAAAGATGGCTCCGGAAAAAACTGACCACATGTAGATGGGAGTGGTGGGTTTTTATATCTTCTTGGGCTTTTGAAGTTATTTCTTATTCCTGTTTGAGGCTTTGTATTTCCTGTGTCATGTACTTTGACCTGAGTCTGAGTTGTCCTTTCAGTATTGGTGGATTAATCCTATTATGTCCCCAAAGGTCATATCTTTTAGAATTTGGTTGGGGTATATAGATTTTAGGGGTCTTTGTCTTACTAATCTCATCAGCTTCTAGCTTCCTGGCTCCAACCTTCCTGAATGGATTATTTCTAAAAGCTGGTTTCTGCTGAGTTTTCTGGCTGTGGGGAGGGAGAAGTTTCTGTCTTTTTTAAAGATCTTCTCCATTATTCCTTTGGAGAAATATATTCTGCCTTTTTAATATTCTTCAAAATATTTCTTTCTCTGGATTCTTCCCACACTACTAATTAATATATAGGGTTTTTAAATATTTGATTATGTGCCATCAAATTGTTCACTCTTAGCAACCACATAGATTTTCTCTATGGCAATCTGTCCCTAACCTGGTTCTTCAGATCTGCTAACAGTACTATATAAGTACTATTATATATATTATTTATAAAATCTAGCTACCACTTTGAATATAAAACAGTAAACATGAATTGTATTGAGAATATTTATTTGCTTTCAGTGCTATTTTCAATAAATACTGTATCATACTGAGGTAAAATAAACTAACAATCAAGAATCTAAACCTATAAATTTATGCAGCATTGTTTCATAACCATCAAACAGAAATGTTATATTTCCTTCTATGTCACTTCAATAGTATTAAAAACTTCTCTTTTGCTGAAAACTGATAAAGAATGGTTATTGCGTACTAGTTTTTCCAATGTGCTTTTTGAAAATCACACTATTCTTAAGAACATCACATCAAAATTACAGGAAGAAATATGCCATAAGGATGCACTTTAGGCCAAGCAAGGTAAACACTGTATGAAAACAATGCTTACTACATTCTCATCTCTTTAATGTACGGTCTGGAATAGGAAAGTGCTGGCAGGTATGTTGTTTCATCTTTAAAAGTTACGCTGTTAAAACTGAGTTTTGATCGTGCACAAGTTTGTGGTTTTAGCTTTAAATGCTACACCTATGTTTAAAGCTCAGGAAATCATAAAGTGATCTGCTACATTAGACTTCACCATCTGACAGCTTAACACAGGCATGTGCTTAGTGGAAACTGCTTAATGAGAAGCTGACCTGTAGTACCTATACTGGGGGAAAAAGGAAGGATAGAATTATATGGAGATAACACCCAAATTGTGGTAGTTATTGAGCTGGATTGACTTTTCTTCCATTTTTGCTTGGAATGGGCTCTTACTAAAGGCATCTGGGAGGAGTTAAAAAAAAGTCAAAATGGCAGTTGCAAAAGCAGGAATGAAGCCTTGCCCTTATATATATGCAATGTCAATTTGTATTCCAATGGAGTGGGATTTCAATTGTGTTATGCAACCTTCATCTTGATTTCTATTGATACCAATCCTTCCCCCCTTAAGAGGTACTACTGGATGATGACTGGCTTATGAAAGGTCCAAGTCAAAAACCAATACAGGTAAGTTAGGAGGTCTTCTATTTAAAGCCCACTTTTGTTCTACCTCCTGTTGAGAACTCCCCTGAATATCTGTAGCCCTTAGCTAATATTTTCTTCCTCTTTGAGACACATCATTTTAACTGCTAATGGGTCTTCCCTTGAGCACTTTTAAAGGAAATGCAGATCCTGTTTGGGCAAAAAGATGGGAAGAGAAGCAAAAAAATTGCTTTTTGAAGGATGCTAAACAGCTAGGAGATGGGAAGACAGCAATGGTAGATATTTGCAAAAAGCATTTCAAACAACAATAGATGCATTTTCAAACATTTGATACATTTCAAATATCTTGGGGCAGGATTGTATCACACTCCATTAAACTGGCAGCTCTTCTTGATATGGTGATCAGTTTGTAAATCTAGAAGTTACTGTCAACTCAAACTAGCAAATTTGAGTAGTTAATTTCATTATGTAATTCCAGGATAAGCTTAATTAACATGGATCCATAACAATTATAAATTTGAATATCAGTTAATAATGTCAAAATTTGATTAGAATGTATACATAAAGCAATTTTATACTTCCTATCAGCCTCTGGCTTTTCAGGGTAAGAACTGAAATTAATAGACTTATATAGGAAGACTTTTTTTTAAAAGGGGAATTATTCTAAAACAAACCCTTCATCATCCAATTCAAGTTACGTATCATGTAAAGCCTGCCTAGAACTTACACATTCAGCCACCTGAACTTCTACCATGGACAAAATTTCTCAAGTGGAAGGAGAAATTTCTCCATACCTTCTTGGAGGAAGCTCACTAACTACAGTGGCAGTAAACTGGCCTCAACTTTGCAACTTCCATGCTACTTCATCCCTACCTTAGTTTGGGGACAATGGGGCAGACAATTTTAAAAAATGGCAGATATCTGAAGGAACTTCTGAAAGGTCACTTCATTGATTGCATTAATTTTCCTAGAAAAAATGCTCTGGTTTGTACTACATCATGCTTTTGCATGTTTGAGCCAGCTTTTTTTAGCAGCATTCCAAGAAGCAACCATTGGAATAAATCACAACATGCTAGATGTGTCAAAAGCCTGTATTTGGCTTGTGTTATGCTGTAGTGTAGGCAAGTCCTAAAAAAGATTTAAGTATCCAACATCTAAAATTCTGTATCATTGCAAATTAACTTATTTGTAATATTTTAGCAGCACTATTTGAATATTCTTCACATCTGTAAAGCTTTATTATAGAAAATTTTTAACCTGGTTTTATAAACCTCACTCAATTGACAAAATATGCAGCAATAGGCAACCCTCTTCCCACACTCCGGAAAGATAGTATCTGATTCAAAAACTCTCATTCACAATAAAATAGGTGATAAAAAAATAAACTCTTAATTTTCATCATCTCTTGGCACATAAAAACATAGTAATGATTAAGGTCCAGCTCCTGATTTCTTCTTTACACTAATGTCAGGGATGGGAGGGAGCCATGGATACCCGTGAAACACAATTTCATTATTTAAAAAATTATTTTTTAAAAAAAAAATCTTAGGGAGACAAAGCATAATCTTACACCTGCATTGTTTTTAAAAGGGAAGAATAAATATCCTACACATTTATGTCTGTTGCTACTTTATATAGTGAGCTGGAATTTCAAGGCTGTATGTGCTTTGAGAAACACGGTGTGACATGCATTTAAGCACTTCAAATATTTTGGATAGTTGTAGTAATCCAAAGTGATTTCTTGAAGGTACAGCTAATATTTCTTGTGCTTTATTGCAGGTGTTTCCAAGCATAGAATAATTTGTTTGGCTTATTATTATTGTCATATTTTGCAAGCTATTGACATTAGCCAAGACACTACCCTGAATAACCGATGTGGAGTAACCTGTGGTGTGTATTTCAGCACTCCATGCTCATGCAGTAGTTTGTGGGAGAATAAGGTTCGTACTGCTGTGGGTGGAACATCAGGTTCAAGCTTTGATTAACAGCAGTTCTGGATTGTGCATCAATATTCTACCGAATTCACTATTGCCAAGGGCTCATCAAAAGTTGCCAACATGATTTGTTTTGTGGAAGGCATAGAAATGATGTTTCCGCTTTCTGATGGAGAGTGAATTCTGTTGTCTAAAGAATCATCTATAAGGTTTGAGCCCTCTTCTTCATGATCTTCATATAGCGTATTGATGTGCAGAAGTGGATGCACAGGGTTGCAATTCAGGACAGGCCCTGATTCTACCTCACTAGTCTGGGGTAGAGAGACTTTTGTTGCTATATGGTTATGGGTACAGGTGAGAAAAACCCCTGTTGCAGGCACTGTCCTGCAGGTATCACGGGAATAAAGGGACTCTTTTCCAGGAAGGGAAGAATCTGAAAGAGAAGCAAAACACTTATTTAGTTAATGAATTGACATCTTTTTTCCAAATTGAAAAAAAAATGATTATGTGGGGGTCTCTTCATTTTATTTCCACAACAGCAATTTATCTTGCTAAATTGGATGAGAGCAACGGTGCCAAAGGAATCTAGTGAGGTTGGAGGATAAGGAAGGGCCTGTATGTGGATGTCTTTCTTCCTTCCAGGTTCTGTTTCAAAAGAGGCTTATTTTAGAAGAGAGCCACTGTAGTATAGTAGTGTAAGTTTTGAACTAGGAATGGCAATCAGGTTTTACTCTATCCTCAGTCATGGAAGCTCATTAGGTGACTTTGGGACAGGCATTCTCTCTCAGCCCAGTATATGTCTTAGGATTATTGGTTGTAATATGCATTTAAAATGCATACCATTTTTTTAAAACTACAATTATTATATTTTTTACTGAAGGCCTCACTATACATAGCTTTAAATGTGATTCTGTACTTATTATGTAAGTTTTATACAATCCCGATTAAAGAGGGATCAAAATTAACCCCAAAATATCTTAACTCAAAATTGAAATTTCTGACCTTCTAGAAAAATATGTAATTAGTCCTCAAATCAGGCTCAAACTTGAATGACAATTTTTAAAAGGGTCCAAAGGGTAAATCCTGGAAGCTATAGGACAGTCAGTTTAGAATGTGTTCAATAGAAATTGATTAAAAAAGGTAACCAAAGGGGAAAAAACCTAACAAGCTTATAGAAAGAAAACATGAAGGTCTCTCCAAACCTTTCATGTTTTTGAGAATATAAAGATGCTCATAGGTGGAGGTGATCCTGTTAACAATTGAATATTTGAATTTTAAGATGCATGGCATGTCTTGATCTGAGCACTTCTAAATAAAGATGGAAGGATAGAAATGCATGTTTAATTAAGACATCATTGTGGGAATAGGTGCTGAATAGATAGCAGAAAAGGTTAGGGTTAGGGCAGAAAAGAAGACAAAAAAATTCTAGAAAGCTGTTTGGGTAATACTATTCCATTATCAAAGTAATGACCAAGATATTCCACAGAAAATAAATATGCAGAATTCTCCAAGGCATCTGGAGAAGGAAGACCAAGGTATTGAAAGTGTGATAAATATTATAAGCCCATGAAAATATTTGCTAATTCAGAACATCATCAGAGGCCTCCATTATCTGACCTGGATGACTCCTGAAAAATCATTTACTTTTTAAGGCATCCAAATGATGACACTCCTTACTATTTGTAGGTAACGTTACTTGTACAAGGTTATTGTACAAGTTATTCCAGATTTTTAACAGCAAAAGATAGCTCTTCAGGAAAATTCACTTTCATTTGAGTGATTGTGTTAAAGTTTATAGCGTGATTCAAGATTTTTTTATTTTCAAAATAGTGAGAAACCTGTGAATGCTGGACTACATTAAAAAAAATATATCCAGAAGAGTAAATATTTAATACATGAGAAATTGTGATATCATAATCAATGATATGAAACAGTCATAGTGAAACTGTTAAAAAAATGATGTAGCATTATTTTAAAAAGTACAGAAAACAAAACTTTAAGATAAGAAGGCAGCATAGATTGCTTACCAAAGTACCTTCATTGAAGCTAATGAGGTTACTTAACATTCTGCGATTCAACTATAAGAACAAAAACGTCAGGGAAGTTTCAAAATTATATTACCGTTACAGTGTCAAATTGCTTTAAGTGTGTACAGTGCACTCATTTAAGGGAAGTGATGCATTATTCTTAAATTTCATATGGGTATTCAATATAGCATCACTATATTTGAGCATGGGTGTTTTTTGAAATCCTACAGGAGGAAATATCGCAAGCAATAATAATTCAAGTTATCTGAAAATTAGATCAATAGAAGCCAGAGATCAAATTTCTTCTTTACCCAGGTTCCTATCATGTTCTTCTCAGTATACTCAACTCCTCCCCTATGAATGTTGCTATAGGGCATTGCATACCAAAACAACTAGACACAGGGGCACCCTTGTGCCATCATTCTGCTGAACACCTAATCCTCATAATACTGTCTTATGTCTAAGTATATTCACCCATGTTATATGGCTGTAGTATTATTGTCCTTCTCATCTTTTCTACTACTCCCTCTTATTGGTTTCATTATTATGATTATTATTACCCTGTTGCTTCGTATGTACACTAAGAACTTCCGCACTGGAGACAAATTCCTTGTGTGTCTAATTGCACTTGGCCAAATAAAGCTATTCTATTCTATTCTATTCTATTCTATTCTATTCTATTCTATTCTATTCTATTCTATTCCACTCCACTCCACTGCATTCCCTCTCCAATAGTCCTTGTTAATATTTGACATTTATTGTGATCTTAAGATTCAGATGTTTTAAATTGCAGGAAACTGCTCCCAAGAAGTTTAGATTTCATGAAAAAGATTTTTATGAGAAAAAAATGAAATCAGAACTGAGTCACCGATTGTCACAAGGATATTTTTTTTCCTGAACCACACCAATGCTAGAAATACACTTATAAAAATTAAAGGCTCACAAATGGCTCATACATTCTAAGGTTAACAAACATCCCATTTATCGTGTGGCTGCCATACCATGTGATCAATATTTCAGTTTGTATCAGTCACATTTTCCAGTGCTCTCTCTCTGCCTGATGAATTATTTTCAGCAGAGGCTACAGCAGGGGTAGGCAACCTTGGCTCTTTTATGACGCGTGGACTTCAACTCCCAGAATTCCTGAGCCAGCCATGCTGAGGGAAAGGGAGAGGTTTCCAAGCTGAGCCATGCTGGCTCAGGAATTCTGGGAGTTGAAGTCCACGCGTCATAAAAGAGCCAAGGTTGCCTACCCCTGGGCTACAGCTATCATGCAAGATATCAGCAGGATGGAAAATGGAATCCCAATCACTTCGACCACATTTCAAACATTCCAAAACAAGGAACAATTTTGTTAGCTGCAACTGCGATTGGAAAAAGTAGCTAAATATATTTCCATACCTTTGAGAGAAGAAGTGACACAAACTATGGCTTTGTCTTCTTGGTTTAAGAATCCACTCTCTTGGCTTTTGGATGTTGCCATAGACGTATTGGATGGAATTTCTTGCTTGGGTTTCTTATTACTCAATATATATGGTTGAACATCTAAGGAAAAGTGACGCGTATGCTTCTTTTCATTACCTGTGCTGGACAGAGTACTAGATTCAGTTTTGTGAACGGAGGATGGTTGGGTATGTTTTGAATTGGTCTCCAGCAAAGGTGCAATCAGACTATCGGCTGCTGTCTTCCGACGCACCGGCTTTGGCTTCTCAGGTTTGTTGTTCTCAACCTTCATGGTAGCTAGCTGCTCCTTGAATGGCTGAGGAAGGGGATTGGTACTCGGGATCCACTTCATTTTCTTCCGAGGACGCTTGATAATCAGTGGCTCATTAGGGTCAAGGTCTGTAGGGTTAATGTTGGGGTCTATTGTTTGTATTCCAGAATCACGTACAGTTGGGGTAATATCATGATTAGACTGGGCTAGAGCCGCCAGCAACTGACGCACAACATTGTCATACATCAGATCGCTTTCGTTGGTAATGAAATCCAAGCGGTTTAGAGACTTGATGTGATCACGATTTTCATTGCAAAACATGGCCAGGATATTAATATCACAGAACTGAGATTTCTGCCACTGTTTCTTGGTCTTTATGCCAACCTTGTTCAGCTTGTCAAATATAAAATTGGACTTGCGGAATATGAAAAGGTGGATTAAATTGATGAGGATGATCAAGTTCATGAAACAAAGGAGGACAATGTCCACTCCAGCGATTATGCGTTGCAGCTGAACAGAGGGCAGCTTGCAATTCACCCGTATGAGCAATTTGGAATTGCTTGTTTTGTCTGGAGGCTCTCCTAGAGCACATGTGAATTCATTTTGTTTCTGTGTAGCATAATAGGTGGACAAGTATGTGATGGGGATGATGCTTAAAAAGATGATGAAGAGGTGTCTTGCCAAGTAAAGCTTGGCTAGGAAATTGCTACGCCCTCTGCGCTCCAGATATTTCTCAAACAGGTTTTGCTCAGGGCTTTTTTCCTTCTCTGCATTCTCAATGATTTCTCTTCTTTCACGTTCTGTTATCCCTGGCCCTTTTGACTGGATTTGTTTTTCGATTTTTGGTGCACGGCCTTCAGCTGCTCGATGATAGCAGTTATCTATCTCCTGGAGCAAAAAGTTAAGTTCGGAAGTCAGTCTGGTGGAAGCCAAGAATTCCCACCCAAGGGCTGGAATGTACATAATGCCAGCAAAAGCCAGCAAGGCATATGGAAGAAATTTATGCTCAAACAAAGAAGGCCAGTGGCTGGCATTTACACCTGGCAATGCATCTCTTAGCTCTGTCCAACAGTATCCTCTGGCATACAAGGCTTGATCCCGGGTGAAGTTGTGTGGTGTATAACAGTATATGGGCTCCTCTGTATAACAGAGAGAAAAGTCACTGCTGTGCATTTAACATACAAAAGGAGCTCTGCAAAATAAATATTTTCATAAGCTACTGTATTATCGGTTTTTGTCTATGGTATGTATATTCAGCATGACATTAAACTACCCTGTTCTCTTAAGAGTTAAAAAATGCCTCCCCAAGACATGAGGTCAATGCAGAAAAATCTATATACTCAACATACAGCGACACCTGAAGTGGGAATGAAAAATTACATTTGGAAAAATGGTTTTGCAGATAATTTTTCATACTCATCAATCAAATTTGGACAGCAAATCAACAGGATAGTGCCACAGTGTAATAATTGGGGGTTCATCCTATGAAACAAGTATTTTGCATAAGTTCATCTCTTCATATTGAACATTGAAAAGAGCAGCTATCCTTTTAAAAATTCTGATTTTTCATTTCAAGAGAAGCAATCTAAAAGTGCATTGGAGTTTTTTTTCTCACATCACTGAAACTTGAAAAAGATCAGCTGTGAATGTGTTATATTTTCTGCTGAGCTCTTGAGAAACTTTGGCTTCATAACAGTATATTTTAAAAGTGCAAAACTTGCAGTTTCGTAGGTTCAACATAATTCAGATTTTTTTTATTACAAGGAGATAGTTATAGGACAAAATGGATGATTTAAGCTCTGAACCCTCTACCCCACAATGATAATTACCAGAATTCTCTTGAAATTGTAAGCTTTGATTAAATTTCTGGTAAAAGGGGGCAAAGACAGTGAGGTAGGTCATCTCAACAAAAAATCCCGTTAACTATGATTATCAGTAGGAGTTCAATGAGGATCTTCTAGTGCCATTTTTTAAAATACTAGTAATGTTTTTATTCCTTATTACTGTGACCCACCCAGGGCTGTTGTGTTTAATATAGGTGGTGATATAAATATTTTAAATAAATATTTAATTTTCTAAAGCACATCTCAATATAGGACCATTTCTGTAATAGGGATTCATCTCCAAATATATGAATAATGAATGTTACCATCCTAAATACAGGGGGCTTATTCAATTCCCATCTCATAGATGTACTCAAAAGAATTTTGTTTCTCCAATGTGTATGAATAATTGCAACTAAGGGTAGGAAATACTTTCAGATTCAAAGTATTTTGAGGCAGCAGCTCCCTACTTTGAGTTAAAGAACATTATTTCGTATTCAGTATGGGCTGCTTTGATCATTTTGGAAGTGTTTTAGGCTCAGAACTGAACTGTTATAAGCTTGAAATGCTCTCCAAACGATTGGAGCATCTAACAAAACACGACATTTTAAATTCAAAAGTAATTGAATTCAGAATGTGTTATAGACCATTAAATTGCTTCCATTCAATAGGGAAAGATGAAATATTATGGACTTCAAAGGTACAGTTGAAAATATTTCCTCCTAGTCAATGCCCCAAATTATAATGAAAGGAATATTGCAGAGTTTAATCAAAATCCTGTCATAAAAAGGCAGGTTTGAGACCCTGCAGAATTATTGCTTAGCGTGGAAATAATAAAAATGGAATCAGGAGACTGAAATTTAATTTGCCCCAAAAGTTTACAATATGCTACTAAATGAACATTTTGCATCTGAATGTTGCCAGTTACAATTTTGCAAATATTTTCTTTCAAATTTTCTAAAGAAAAAAAAATACTGCCAAAGTATGCACAATCGCATAATTTTGGGGCCAGATATCTATTTGGTGGAACCTGTTTTGAATTTAAGGATATTCCTTAACTGACTAAATTTTTGGCGTCCTGAAAAGAAACTACAGATATTAACACTATCCCTAATAATTTTTGGAACTGCACAGTGAGACTGTTCATTGTCTATATTTGGTATTGATCACACATCCATAAAATGGCATCTTATGAAAATCAATAAAATGGCATCTTATAAAAATCAGTAGCTTTTATAAAAATACAAACGAAAGCATTATAAAGAAATACATTCTATGATTTCCAGAAAGTCTGCCACAAAATACCTTTTCGGATTGTGTTAATGACACACACATATTCATTGCTCTCTGAAAATATTAATCCGGTGTATTCTAAGTAATAGATTTCAGGATCATCTTCAAGATTATCATTCAGCACTAAGGCATAGCAATCCTTTGCAAAACATATTGTAAGTAAATGAATGCAATCTATAGAAACTCATCTTGTACCTTACAGTAATTCACTTGTATTCAAAATCCCATCAATTAGGTTGAAGTCAAATCTAATATAGCACAGAGTAAATTTATTTAATTCTACGGGGATATGATAGGCATTACTAAATTGCCTCATTTTTATGGTTCTATTTTTAAACTCGACTAAAATGGAAAGCAGTTTCTTATTTACCGGTTGTCCAAAAATTTTGAAACTTTTGTCAAAATTATGAAAGTGGTATATTGTCATGATGCAAGTTTGCCCCTTTGATAGGTACAAAGGTTGTCATGACACCCGTGATGAAGGTGTGGGACTTGCACTGCAATAGCACAAAGCTGCCATTGATCCTTCTCCTGCAGATATCTTTAATCTTTATGTAGTGTTACTCTTTATCTTTTTAGATAGCATTATTTACTAACAGAATTAAAAATTAAACTAGAAAAGCAAAACTTGAGAGATTGAAACAGCAATAAGCCCAATAAAATAAATACATCTGGCACACCTGATAAGTGCCATATGAGTAAATTTTAACTGTAAAGCAAATCTCTTTAGAATTTCTGTTCAATAGTGAAAAATAGGCTAATTTTTAAAAACCAATGAATAAAGAGTTTCAACTTTCAACCATTCATTATTATTGGTATGGAACAGCCCACTTACCTGGGTTCTAAAAGGCATTTTAATTTAAACAGCAAATGTGTGGTGGTAGTGAGCTTCTGCCAAAGAAACAATCTCCAAGCCTGACACTTGCACAAAAATAAAATATATTCTTCTCTGCTCCAATAAAATTTACTTGAGCAAACAGTGACATTAATACATCACATTTTATTGGTGCAAGTTTGGATATAAAATGAGACAACAGCCTATGGGTGTCAACCTGTCTCAACTTTACGAATGCAGCAATGACATTTTACTGATAAGTATCCATATTTAAAGTACAAAGTTAGAAATTCAAAATTTATATAGGTTCCATGTACAATAATCACATTGATTCAAATCCATTTTCAACCCTTACTATTTCCACTAAGTTTTGGCACCATCCTCTAGTTCCTTGGATTGAGTACTACATTTATCTGTAAATCAAAGCACATGCAACCGAAACAACAGCTCATTTAATTATTAGTTGCCCCTACTTGGACTTCCCTCCCCTTCCTGTTGTTTTCTGAGATTGTAAGCTCCTCACTCTTTGCACACAGATAGCATAAAATACCACACTGATCTTAATAATTCCCAAATATTAATGGGACATGACCTATCAAAGGCGAGGCAGAAAATTGTGAACAGTCTGGGTTTTTATTCATGCATGAACGAATTGTATAAACAATCTTACCAACCTAAATTACATTTGATGCAAATAAAACCATGAATAGGTAAATAAATAAAATATAGTATGCTAAGCAACGCCAATATATTTTACTGACATTATATCATTATATTACTGATATTATTCAGAATAGTCCCATTCCTTATTTTTAATTCATTGAGCAACTATATATTTTCCCCCTCCTTTTGGTAAACCATGCTCTCTGTTCTCACTGTTTATATTTCTGTGCATTTGTACAGATCCAGGGGTGTCTGCAGGAAGAATTAAAGAAGTCAAGGTGGTGATTGGGTAAAAAAGATGGGAGTTTAACAACACAGTCACAGCCACCATATTTTTTTGACCACCCCCAAAGAGATGCTCTTATACAGATCCCACTCTAACTATCTTAGAAATCTTAGAAGGGTTACCAAGTTCCATTACATAACTATTGTTTTTGTGAGTTATTGCTACAATTTTATTTTCCTTTTCACTCTCTTTATAGCCTTTAAGTAATATTCCATTAATTTACGTAAGAATGTTGTCTTTTCTTCCTTCCTTCTGATTATCTTCCTTAATATGTTTAATGTAGAAATGATAGCTGGTTTTTGATTGTAGATAAATGTTATATTTAATATGATTACACCTTTGGGATAAAGCTTACAGGAACACCAGTAAAAAGAAGAATCAATTAAGATACTGTATATTTAAAAGCAATTAAGTTGGCCATAGGTTTTTTTTTTTTTACCATTAAGGAAAGAACTGGATTGATTTAATTTGCCTGAAACAGGATCTTTTCCAATATAGTCAAGAGTTTTACAGTTTTTATGGCTTATGTTGCAGCAGCTGGCAGCACTGAGACTGCCTTGGCTAATTCTTAAAGAAAAAAAAAAAAAAGCTAAACTGGGTTTCTCCTGATTAATACTTGGATGAGAATCAAGGAAATTCCCTATGATTTAACAAAATTTTGGAATGAAATGACAACATAATTCTGTATCACTGAGAAGAAAATTATACTAGCATGGCCTTGAAGTCTTACTGGGAGATGAAATGGATTTTTTTTGTTAAAAGAATAGGGTCTATATGGCTAAAATCCAGAGTAAACATTTATTTATTGGGTTTAAACATATACTCTAGTAATAATATTGAACTTGGCCATGATTTGATCTTTGCAGTAGAAGACATGAGCACGAACATAAAGGTTTTGCATGCAAATAAGAGACCTCATGTACGCCCCCCCCACTCCTCCGAGCAATAATGCTCTGTTGTTTATCATCCATCTTTAGTGCTCATGCAGAAATGCTCCTGTTAGGTCATGACTGTAATATGCCACATGGTTACTGCACTCACAAGTCTCCCAGCAATCTTAGCCAAATGTAGTTCCCAAAAATAAGAATACAACCCGGCACATGAATTATTTGATTTTTTTTATTTAATGAAAAGTAGCTATTCCTTTTTTAAATTCCCAGATCCTCTTCTTTCTGAAAAATAAATTAAAAGTTGGTTAATACAGTTTAAATAATGTTTGCATTGGTCTACTACCATAGT